CATAGATTTCAAAAAAGTAAAAAAAAAAAAAAGTCATCATAATATGAAAAAGAGAAACCAAACAAATAGAGGTATTTACATGCTTTTATTTATAAGATCTTTTTGGTCGAGATTATAATGCTTTAATCAGTTAAATTATTTTCAGATGGATTCTTCTTATTATTATCTTAAAGACTAGAGATTATGAACCATACATTTGGTCAGTTATCTACATATAAACAATTGACCTATCTAATTCAAGCCTAGATCAATGGATATGGTGTCTATTTCTTCCCATGATAGCTTTTATATTTTATAAAGTTTAAAGAAATTGTACAACGTAAAATAGATATGTATTTTTAAAAGTATCATTACTTTTTTCTTTTTTCTTTTTTCAAAAGTTTCACAAATGTGATTTTAAGGCTTGCCTTGTATAATTCTATACCATTGCAATTTATGTTATTTTTGTAAATTTTAAAATTAATGCTATGCATAAAATACATATTTCTTTGGTGTAATTCCCTCTAAAAATTTGTATGAGATTTAAGGGAAAAAAAATATTCTAACCCTTTATATGTTGAAGAACTCTTTATCAAGATAAAAAATAGAAACTTTAAATATTATTTTGGTCACCATACTTTTTCTAGTTCATTTTTAATCATTATACTTTCTTTAACTCACCTTTAGTCATTGTACTTTTTCTAGTTCATTTTAGTCCCTATAATTTCAAAATATTCGTTTTGGACCCAGTACTTTAAAAAGTAAATATTTTAGTCTCTATTTGCAAAATTTTAACACACGAAGAAAACCTTTTAATTCAAAGTCATAGTTACATTTTAAGAAATATAGCGAAGGTATATCATGATAAAATTGTGATAAAAAAAATATGATAAATTAAGAAACCAAGTGATCACTTTTTAAAAGTACATGGATTAAAACGAATATTTGAAAATAAGTGGATTGAAATAAACTTGGTTTGCCCCTTATTTTCGACTATTACAGTTGACATTGACTAACTTTACGATACGGATGGACACAAAAAAGAATGCAGGCAGCGGAAATACAAAAGAGAAGAGTAAAGATTTTCAACCCAGGACATGTTATTGACTCAACCACAAATCTATTGAACGAAGATAGTTTGTTTACTCTCGGTCACAAGTTAGAAGGAAATCTGTTGACTTCGTTTACACTCTAATGCAATAAAAAAAACAAGTGAGTGAGGCCGACTAAGCTTCTATTGGAAGTAAGGTAAGATTTGGATCGTATACCACCTTCAACTCTTCTCAAGATTCTATATTATTAAAAGTCCCTTTAAAATAAAATCAAAATCAACTAAAGTGAAATTACATCAGGTAGTTAAGCTCTAAAAGAAAACTACCAAAAAAAAGAAAACGATATCTGTTTGCCCATCACATTTCCACCTGATCTTCTAGACGTTACCCGCTATCTTCCCTCTGTCTTTCTCTTCAGTCTTCAATGGAGACGCCATTAATGGACCTTTCTTCCCACAGCCCATTTTTCACCCCCAAGAATCATTCCTTATACCATTTTTACCCTTCAAAAATAACCATTCCTACCCTCTGTTGTCCCAATAACCCCACCACTTCCCTTCGCCGGTTTTGCGCCGATACGACGCCGCCTGAAGACATTCACGCAGCAGCTTCAGATTCGGCCCCTGAAAGAACCCAGAACCGCCGCAGGATAGTCCGATTAGCGTGGGAGAAGTTGGTCCGATGGTCCAGGTCTTGGCGGTTCAAGGCCAGGACCGATGTTCTTGAGCGTACGAACAAGGTGGGTGGGTTTTAATCTGCTCGTTTTCTTTTATCTACTTGTGTCTTTTTATTTTTGCCTGATGAATATGTGAGCTAATCTTATTATTGAGCTTTAGCTGTGTGTAATTCGACACTGCCTGCAACTTGTTTGTTAAAATGCAGCAGAGAAGTTCCACTGTAGCATCTTGTTTTTTCTTCATTTTCTTTCCCAATTTGTAAGAGCAGTATAGGAATTTCTTTTAATGTTCGAAAATATTACCATCACAAATACATGTGAAAGTTCGCAATATTCGAACTTGCAACTCTTAGAGGTAGAGATGTCTTAACCGCTTAAATTGGCTGAATTTTAGGAATTGTTGGACCTTGTTCTCAAATTAATCAGTTGTATTTGCCCTGGAAATTCGTAGAAGTTCAACTTTCTTGTCCCTATAGCTTACCTCATTGTACTCTCTTGTGAGTTGTAATTTTGAACGAGTCCCATTGTATGGCATTGTTTTTCCAAGTACTAAAGATTTAGTTCCTCTTTGGGCATGGAGAACGATGGTTATTATTGGGGGGAATGATGACCACTAGAAAATTAGTCAACACCATATTACTTGACTTTGAATTTAAGTACCAATAAACTTGATGGCATCTAATTTACTACCACCTTGTCAAAGTTATTTTTCCATTCTTTGCTATATCCGTTATTTGGGTGCGGGGCGTAATTTAAGGTGTGTTGGAAAGTGTCTTTTGGCCCTAGAGACTACAAGGTTTGACCGTTTGAGTCTAACATTTTTCTTTGAAATTAATAGTTTATTTGACCATCTAGGATATGAAATAATCAAATATAAAAAGGTGTAATCATATTGGAGCTAATAAAATAGAGCTCTAAAGTAGCTTAACTGTGTAGGTATTAATGATATTTTATTGGTAAACGTGGTTGTCCCACCTTGCTAAGAGTCAAGAGACAAGCCTTCAAAATTAGTACACTAGTTATAGTATCTCAAACCCAATTAATTATCAGCAAGACCTTTTGCATCCTTGCAAGTGCTTGGGTGGGCATCACAGTGTATAAAGGTTGAATTTGGCACTTTAGGACGCTTTTGCACTAAATATCAATATCCTTGTGAAAAAAAATCAACAATTCTCAAAGTAATATCTCTTGTTATTAAAGAAGTTGTCCTCATATAATATTTCTACTCTAAGTCAGGCAGCAAACATTTCTCTGAACTGTACTGTTTCTTTTATTCCAGTGATCAATAATTGTGTCATTAATATTTTATTCGTCACCAAGGTCAACATCACTATGCTTAGCTTAAATGTCAAACTTCTAGTGCAATAGACTGAGTCTTTTTCAAAATGATATTTGTTTAAAGCATATTCTACTTCCAAAATTTCTTTTTTCTTATTTAATAGTTCATTGTGTCAATTTTATCAGGTGGCTGTGCTTGGAGGGGGATCTTTTGGTACAGCAATGGCTGCCCATATTGCTGGTAGAAAGCCCCAATTGGAAGTCAACATGCTTCTTCGTGATCCTCAAGTATGCCAGTCAATTAATGATACCCACTACAATTGGTAAATTTCCATGTACTCCAAAGAACCTTTCCTTTCCTCCACTCTTTTGTGATGTATGTGAGCTGGTGCATGTTTGCGTGGTCTCAGATGAAAGTTTGCCTGATTGAATATGATTGATGACATTTCTTCTCATTCTCAGTAAGTACTTCCCAACGCACAAGCTACCAGTAAATGTTATTGCTACAACTGATGCCAAAGCTGCTTTGCTAGGTGCTGATTTCTGTTTTCACGCTGTACCTGTGCAGGTCTTTCACTACCCTGTTTAAATTTGTGCATTAATATTTGTTTGCTCTTGTAGCTATGAAATAATTACGAAGATGTAATGGGGAAAAAACATAGAATGCAGTTCCTTCTTTACAAATTCTTGCAAACAAATTCAAAATTTTTTCATATGCATTTTTAGGCCATTAAGAAATGTGGATCTTCATCATGTTCTCTTTTTTGGGGGATTAGAGTATTTTTTAAAATTTCATTGCAGTTCAGCTCATCGTTTCTTGAGAGCATTGCTGATCATGTTGATCCACACGTGCCATTCATATCCCTAAGCAAAGGGCTGGAACTTAATACCTTGAGGATGATGTCTCAGATTATACCACAAGCACTCAGTAACCCTCGACAACCTTTTATTGCTCTTTCAGGACCTTCATTTGCTTCAGAAATAATGAATAAATTGCCAACAGGTGATAACACACATTATATACATATTCCTTAGTACACACTCATTTCAGTTGTATTATTTTAAAATTTATTTTGCACTTATATCTTGATTTTCCAGCAATGGTAGTGGCATCAAAGGACAAAAAATTGGCAAATGCAGCCCAACAACTGCTAGCTTCTAGTTATCTAAGAATAAGCACTTCAAGGTAGATTTAATTATCATAAAATGTGGGCTTTCTTGTCTTGTATATTGTAATTCAAAAATACCTTCTGGTAGAAACTTTAATTCCTCCTTTTGGTATGATCATCTTATGAAGCATCTAATTTTTGACATTCAGTCATTCATCCACTTTTTTCATTTCTACTTCAATATTTGTTTATTTCTCCATTGCCTAAGCACAAATTCCCTCGCAAATAGTTTCTTTTCAGAAAATAACATAAACCGCAATGAAAAGATAGCAGTAAACTCTTGAGGAAATGATCTGTAAGAGTAAGCCTGTTTACATGGCTTGTAACTTCTGATGACTCAGTGATGTCACAGGGGTGGAGATTGCAGGTGCACTAAAGAATGTGCTTGCAATAGCAGCAGGAATTGTTGAGGGGATGAATCTTGGTAACAACTCTATGGCAGCTCTTGTAGCACAAGGGTGTTCTGAGATCCGTTGGCTGGCAACAAAGGTGTGCTTTTATTCATCATTAATTTCTTGGTACATGAGTATGATTTATTTACACTTAAATTATCTCTCTTTATCCAATAACTCGAGGAAGCCAATGGAGCTACTTACCAGTTGCCATCAACCATTGAAATATTGATTGATAAAAGTTATTAGAAGCATATTTTGATGTTCCTGCTCTATGTGGTTTGTAAAATTGTTGTTGGTGATGGTCAGATGGGATGCTTTAAATATCTGTTTTCTCAATGGCATTTGAATATGGTACTGCTCTATGGACCCCTGACTCATGATAGTGTGAGCTAACAGCTATGAACCTCATGGTCTGACCACCTACCTAAGATATTAAAATCATATTAATTTCCTGACAACTAAATATTGTAAAGATCTTTTTTCTTTATATCCGCGAGTGTCCAGGCCAACTTACGCATACCTCAACTAATCTCGAGATAACCGCCCGACCCTACAACATTTGGTGTCGGGAAATACATAGGAATTACTAATTCCTAAGGTAGGTGACCATCATGGGGTTTGAACCCATTCCCTCTTAATTAACCCTAGTTCATTTGGACCAATGGTTAGAGTACACTCATGTTGTAAAGATCATTTGGCTAGAGCATGCACATATATCGAAAAGATAATAATAATAATGGTCCTTTCTCTTTGCCTGCTAATGTAATCAGATTGTTACAGAGAGCTGACTGCTTTTTATTGCCTTTGGTGTAACTTGCAATTGGATCGTTGGCCTCACATTCCTGCTGTCAGTCATAGTTCAAGCCTTATCTGCATTAAACACATTATTATCTTTCGTATCTACAATTTGTCTGAATGCAATCATGGCATTCTGATTACTTTTTCCTTCAAAATTTTTTTCTTAAAGATGGGAGCGAAGCCAACGACAATTACCGGTCTCTCGGGCACAGGGGACATTATGCTTACATGTTTTGTCAACCTCTCCCGAAACCGAACTGTTGGAGTACGACTAGGATCTGGCGAGAATCTGGATGATATATTGAGCTCCATGAATCAGGTACTGGGTTATCCCTTGGGTAGCATGTCAGGCAATGTTTGGTGTCCATTTATAATGCCAGCAGTTGTTAAGGACCCCTGTATTCAATAGGTTGCAGAAGGTGTATCAACTGCAGGGGCTGTAATCGCATTGGCTCAGAAGTATAATGTAAAGATGCCAGTTTTGACAGCGGTGGCCCGGATCATTGACAACGAGCTAACGCCACAAAAAGCGGTTCTTGAATTGATGGGGCTTCCTCAGGTAAAACTCTTAGCTCTCATTGAACTGGTAACTTGGATGTTTATGAACTTGATCAGATTGCTTGAATTCTCATTTGAACTTCATTTAGGTGGAAGAGGTCTGAAACCTGAGGGGCTCCACAGATACTTGCATCATAATCACAGAACTTTTGTGGCATGAAACCTTGCCAGCAACTATTTTTACCACGATATTATGATATCGAAAAATTTTATTTGTCGAAGGATTCTTCGCTAATTTTTGGGAGATCAGAAGTTGTTATGTCAAACCTGCCAGTTGATATGAACATTTGAGCATTTTGATTCTTATAAATTGAATTCAATGATTTTGTTCTTGTAAATTCACAATCATAAAAGATGTCACTCCTCTCCAATTTCTTGAAAGCTCGGTTTCTAATAAAAAAAAGGAATATGACTCAAAACTGTTCGTAAAATTTTCCATCCAATCCAATTTTATTGAAAGTTCATCAACTAAGAAGCATACATACTTTGACAATTTTTAATAGTAATATACGATAAAATAATTAAATTTTAAAGTAAAATATATCGAATTTACTTTTTTTTTATTGACTTTAATTTCTTTACACTATAAAAGTGATATTTATTTTTTTCAAAATGTATATATATTAATATGCATCGGTATCTTAAATTTTTTAAAAAATGACGTGACACCATACCCATGTCGTATAAATGACCCGTACTTTTTAGTTCATAAATATCAAATGAAGCATAGTTCATAAATATCAAATGAAGCATATGATGTGCGTTGTTGACTACTTAAAATTTTAGTAAATTCATAGCAAAAGTTAGCATTGCAAATAACCTACGAAAGTTCACCAAACAGTACAAGTTAGCTCTACCTTTTCAAAAGCATCGAAAATTTTTCCCTACATATGATGTCATATTCCAAAAAAAAAAGAAAAAAGAAAAAAGAAAAAAAAAAGCCTATGCAAGTTCAGATAATTAAACATATGTCCATCTTTGTATAATCTGAGAGCAGGAAATATCATTTCACAGAACAGTGACTGAATCCAACAGAAAGATGTATTGATTTCAAACCAGCTCCTTTCACCTCTTTCCTTTTCATTTTATCAAGTTGAGGCTGCAAAACACATATATATGTGTATATATAAATTTTTCAAGGATTTCCATTAAGTCTCCAATGGAGTTGGTTGATCATAGAGGATATTTACCTTCATTTTCTTCATTACCCTTCCAACCTGGCTGCAATTTTCAACTTTGAAGCACTGAAACTCAAGCAGTGGGCTCCTGTTCTAAGCAGCTTAGTGAGTGAAATGAAACAAATACCACCAAAATATACAGAGAGAGGCATCACTCTCTTTTATCTTCCTCAAGATCTCCTCCAAGCCCAAACACAGGGTGATCTGCAGTAGTAGATGGTGCCTTTCTTTCCTTCCTTTCCAGCTTGTTAGATAAATCTGCAGCTACCTTAATTCCGGTTCCGGTGAGTGCCACGACTTCCTCATCGACGTCGTCCCCGGTGTCCTCCGAGTATGCAAATCTACGAAGCCCAGAATCATTCAACTCTATAACTAGACACTTGTCGATTTCATTTGATGATAATTTTGGTTTCTTAAAAACTCATTTTTAATCTTCTCTTTTATAGCATTTCAGGATAAGCAATTCAGCTGCAGCAGTTTTTGGAAGTGAGAAGCTAGTGCTGTGAGAGAGACAGAAGATAAAGATAGATAGCTATCCAAGTGCATACAAAAGAAAGTAGTGAAGCGAAAATATGAAATAGTAGGACGTGTAAAAGTAAAGTAGGGGAAAAAATCTTTCAAGTTAGGAAAATTATTTGCCAACATTACTTTATCCAGTATCTCCAATTTCTGTTACTTGGGAAGATTTTTCTATGTAACCTTATCATATATTCATACGGGATAGACCTTTCAAACCAAGATCCGAGCATAAATTATTTGCTAGGCAGCTTAGTTTGTCAGGAGGAGATACAAGGAGTTAAGTAGATTCCAAAAGGAGGCAAGGGATCGCTACCTGGTGATCGGGTTATGAGAAGGAGCCCAGAGAACGCATATAACTACCAAGAGAACAAAAGAAAGCAAAATCCAGAAAGCTGGAATGATCCAAGCTCTTCGCCACAGCTCACTCAATGGGTCGGTAGCATTGAAGTACAACTACACGAACAAAAATCAGTAATCCTAAACAATTGGACTTATCTTACAAATTGTTCAAGCAATGGAGAAAAATGGAGGGAGATAAATGAAATACATCACCTCATATCCAATCCAAGCTATGGAGAGCAACACTGTAACTGCAAGGCAGTTCGTAAACTTCCGATACAGCTCGAGTTTGGCCATGCTTTTTCTAATCTATATAGTATACAAAATAGAGAACCAAATATGATCATCCTTCCAGCAGAAGAAACCAAGATGTCACACACTAAACTGGATAAAAAGACATGAATTAAATCTCAAAGAAGTATAATTTACCTGAAGCTTCTCCAAAGTTTTTGATAATGATGAAAAGATCCAGAGAATAAAGCAAGCATCCAGTACAGCAACTGGCAACACCAGAAAGAACCTTGTTTTTCCAGAGAAGTCATTAACATTTCCCAAATGTTCAACAAGCTCAAGTGCTTCAGAAGCCAAGAAATATGCAGCACCCAGAAGGACCACTTTCATGGTTATACCACCGAGGGTCGGTCGCACAACCCCGTATCCCATCGAAACCACTAGGAGAAGCAGCCTAGAAACAGTCTTCTTAATAGCGCTAAACGTAACTGCCAAAGTGGTAATCCCCATTGGTCGACTTCCAGAGGAATTAAAATTTGAATACTCAAAATACCAAAGGGCCATTTCACACATTCCCAAACCTATAACACAAGTGATATGGTAGTGCAATTGTATTACATCTTTCCAATATCTTACAAACCAGAGAAACCAGACAAGACCCAGAACAATGTAAGACAAAGACATTAAGCCAAAGAATGTCACCATTGGAGCCATCTTTCCTGGTAAATAACCATCTGGGTTTCTCCAAACCGTTCTTCCACTGATCACCGTACCTCGGAGTTGCGGATCACAGAACATAAAATACAGATAATACATTCCAGTTTTGTTGAGTTCAACAGTAGTAGGTTCCATTTTAGCTTCTTCACTTATCCCTTCAAAGAAAGTCTGAATTCTCCTTGGTCCATTAGGGTAATCTGACTCCTCATTGATAATAACTTCTCCTACTTTGCAAGATCCATTATTCGCAAGCTTCTGGGTGCAGCATATAATATCAGAATTCAGAAATGCCCCTCCAATTTTTGTCCTGTCTTTGACCTCCACAATAATAGCTTCAATTAACCCAGTTTTTTGCTGCATCTCATTTTTCTGTTCAGCAGATTCTTTTGTTCGCCAAAATGTGATCGATTCAAACCTACATTTTCGCACAAACAATATGACAAACAGGAACTAATTTCAAATCTCTGATATACTTCCATCACATGCAGAAACCCATTTGAACTGGACACTTAACGACTAATTTCAACCAACCATTCCAACATTTGACAAAAGATTTTGCGGAAACAAACTAACCCAAATTGGCCCTACTCGATCAAATGAAGTACAGTAGCGAAAATCGAGAGAGAGACGCGAAAAACAGGGGTTCGATTAATTTACCTGATGAAGGACATTCCGTCGAGCGTTTGGTCTGCAGAAGCGGTGGTATTGGAGCTGAGAGGGTGAAAATGGGAAGCATACAGCCCTTCACTACCGCCATGGAAGAAGAAAGAATTGGAACGATGAATGAAAGATTCGTTTTGGTATTGATGGATGGAAGCACCCACTAGAGAGATTGAGAAGCAGCTGAGAAATGTAAGCGCAAGGATGATTTGAATGTACCCGTTAATGGAGGAAGCAACCAAATCGAAAAGCTCCCTCTTCATCGTTCTCTGCTACTCGTTTCTTCTTCCGGAGAACAAGAACCAACGTACAAAATAGCTTTTACGGCAAAATTGTAACACATTCGTAAGCTATACGTCTCAAAATTGGAGTATATTTTATTTTATTTCTTTTGAGCGAAAGATTGAATCTTGCCTCTAATGATGCCTAATTTGTTTAAGTATTCATGATTTTTTTTTTTTTTAAGAATAAGTATTCATGAAATTCACTTTGAGCATAGTTCAGCGGTAATTGACATATATCTCAAACAAAAAGTTCACACCGTGACAAGTTGTTAGTAGATTTTATATATGTTCGTTTTTATAAACTTGGCGTGTGTGTGTATATATATCTTGCTACAACAATATATGAGTTGGGGATTTAAACTCGAATCTTTTTGGTCGGACATACCTGTCTTAATCAGTTGAGTCAATCTTAGGTCAACGATAGACTTGTAGATAGATGTTCAACAAATGGGATAGAATATCGTGAACTGGAATGGTAAAAGATAAATGATTCTGAGTTTTTTTTGTAACCAAGTTTGGAAAGATGGGTTTTTGGGGGATTTAAGGTATTTAAAAAGGATAAGTACATAAATATCCCATTTAGAGATCCAAATTTCACCATTTGAAATGAATATTTCACACATGTTTATGGTTAGTCCATTTATGATAGATTCCCATACAAAAATTACAAATATGACCGCAATAGATATCTTATATTTTAAAAAAATGAAAAAAAATCTTAACATGAGTAAAGAAGAATACGTGAGATTTAAAATTTGGGAAAGCGAGAGAGATTTCGGAAAGAATCCAAGAGCTAGAGTCCATTTGTTTGTGGTTTTGATCGGGCATTTTTAATGTGGGATTCCATTCTCGTAGAAATCACTCGAATTTTTTGCAGATCGTCGAAAAGTCGCGTCGGTGAAGATGCTGCAGATTAGGGTTGTCGCCGCTTGGAGTCTTCGAAGCCGCATAATTGGTGAAGATGTTATAGATCGGGTCATCGAAGCTGCATCGATTCAGATGTTGTGCAGATCAGGTCGTCGAAGCTGCACTATTGAAGATGCGACAGAACAGGGTCGTCATTGCTCAGAGTCAGCGAAGCCACGCCAGTGAAGATGTTGCAGATCTGGGAGATGTGCCATCGAATCTCTTCATCGTGCCGTTGTGGATCATCATTAAGGTTCCTAGGTAGTTGGTATCCATGGTCAGATGGGCCATCAGAGGTTATCTTCGACGAGGGAAAGGTCGATGGGGTTGAGAACAACAAGGGGGACTACTTGAGGAAGAAGGAAAAGAGTTTCTTTTTTTGGAGTCTATATTGTGTGTTGTTATAGAGTATATGTTGGATATATGATCCATATACGTATGTGGGGTATACTTTGGATATATATGCTAAGATGTATATTATATAAAACCTAATATTTTTGTATACGACATTAGACGAATATATATTTTATCATCCCGTAAAACATATTAAAAGATATAATTTATGTAATGTTTGTTGGAAAAAGAGCTGGAAAAGAAATAGTACCTATACAATTATTTTTAAAGAAGTATATATTATATAACCATATAACAATAAAAGGTATATATTATATAACCTAATTAATAGGTTGAAAAGATTAATGAATGGTTGGAATAAAAAAAGGTTGCCAGAAAAGATAAAAATGCAACCGCCCACAATATAAAAAAAATGTAGGAACCTTGATGAGTAGGTTTTGTATCTCCTTTTTTCTTTTTTTTTTTTGCAGCACGTTTTCTTGGAGTGAATGTAAATATAATTCAATGATTCAATTTCAAATCATCGCTACCTTATTTAGGCTTAATATGCATATGCTTGAAAAGGGAGGATTGAGATGATAAAAAATGGCTCAAAAATAAAATGTTTAAATATTAAATTACAAATTTTAAAAATATTTAATAGTCACCCTTGTCCAACTATCAATGTTTGTAACTTTTTAGAAAGTCCAAAGAAGAAAATGACTAATTATTTGAATTTCATAATTGCCAAATTGTCTTTGACTTTTCAATTCAATTAATTGATCAACTCATAATTGATCTATTTTTTTAATAATTTTTTGTCCCTTTTTAGAATTTAATTTGAATTCATCTAATTTGTCCAATTGATGAACTGTAATTTATATTTTAAAAAAAAGAATGGTATTTTAATAATTATTAAATGCTATTTATTATATTTATGAAAAAAGATAGAACAGATAATGTAAAAAGTTTAAAAAAAAAACAAAAAAATATGAGAATTTTATTTTTAAAAAATTAATTAATGTTATATATTTTTTTTATATATAACTTCGATAAATCAAAAAAAGGATGGAAATGTTCAAGCGTTTAAAATATTTTTGTGTGTTTTCTATTTAATAAAAATAACATTAGATTTGCTTCCCAATTGTTTATTCATTTTATTTTTTGCTTTTTAAAAATATTTTGAAATTTTAATCATTTTTTAAGTAAAAAATAAAATATACTTTTTTTTAGCTCAAAGTGGACTAATGTTATGAAAAGTTAAAACTCATTAAAAAAACTATTTTACTAACAACTTGGAGTTTTATTTTTACCTTTTTATTAAAAAAAAACAATTTTTAAATTTGCATTTCGCCTTTGTTTTTAGCATTTAATAACATTAGAAACTTGACTAAAAAATAATCCATACATAAAACATAGAAGTTTGATCCATTAATTTTAATAACTAATATGTCTCAAAATTGAAAAAAAAAAGAAAAAAAAAGTCTAATTGGTCCTTAAACTTTAAACAAAATATCTAATAAGTCTTTGAATTTTTAATTTTGTATCTAATAGGTTTTTAAATTTTAATAAATGTCTAAAAAATTATATATAAAAACATGTGTCTAAAAGATTTAGGGACATGTTAGATACAGAATTAAAAGTTTAGGTGCTATGAATACGAAAATTGAAAGTTCAATGACCTATTCAAAACTTTCTAAAACTTAAGACTTTATTAGACAGTACAACACAACATTGAAAGTTTAGAGATTTATTAGATAATTTTGAAAATTTCGAGACATATTAAATACAATACTAAAAAGGAAAATTTATAACCAACAATTGCTATAATTTTAGGGCCAAAATGAGATTTGACTTTTTTTTAAGAAATCAAACGTAAAATTTAATTGGTGGTCGGATATTTAGTCAAACTCACAATTTATTTTTGAAATTATGTCCTTCTACTTTTAAAATAATCATTTTTGTCCTTCAACATTTATTCATTTTAGTACATATACTTTCAAATATCTGTTTTTGTCATGCACTTTCAAAAAGTGACCGTTTTGATCTTCATTTTCATTTTTATCACATTTCTATTGACTACCATTAGCATGATACTTAACTCGTAAAAAAATTTAGCCAGGAAATTGTAATAAAAGATGTCCATTTTGTATACAATTTATGTCCGTATAGGAAAACAAGACGGACGTTTTGCAAGTTTAGAGACTAAAATAAATAAAAGTTGATGGTACATGTATCAAATTAGACGTTTAAAAATTATGTGAATTAAAATAAACCAGAACTGAAGGTACAAAATCCAAAAATTGTATTTAAATCATAAAGATAAAACTTTATAGTATCCAAAAAAATATAAAAATAAAACTGTATGTTTTCTTTTCAGTACAACATGTGGATGAGAATTGAACTCACATACTCCTGGTTGGAGATATATGTCAATTACAAATTTTTTTAATACATTTAATAAGATAACGTGACAAATACGAAATTAAAAAGATTATTTTAATATGTATAATAGTCTCTAAGATATTTAATCTCTAATATATTAAATTAATGAAATCAATCAAATTAAACCGTCCGTTGGTTTGCATGTGACAGCCACCAAGCATGTTAAGAAACAAAAAATAATAATAATAAATAAATAAAACAAACTAATAATAATAAAACAAAACAAAAAACCATATAATAATATATTGACATATTCACTTATGGGCTAAAAATTATTTAGCCCCTAATCTATATTTTGTTCTTTGTTCCAATTTGATAAATGATGTTTTAAAGGGTTGAATTTTATTTTTTATATATTGAATTATTTTTCAATTATGTTTTAGTCCCTACTTGAGCCTCTTTTTTCAATTTAAAATATCCATGATTTGATATTCTTTCGTATCTCTTAAAAAATCAAACATTATTGTCCGTAATTGACACATATCATTCTCAATTACTAAAAGAAAGCAAAAAAAACTTTGATGGTAAGATTTATAAATGTTTCAATAAAAATATAAAAATAAAATATTGTTGAACAAAATTGTACTAATAATTATTTTTGAAATAAAGTACATTATTGATTTTTAATAAGCTAAGAATAAAGTATTATAAATAAAAATTAAAACTAAAAAATATATCATGTGAAAGGTACAGATATATGGTAAATTTCAGATAATGACGTAATTGCAAATTTTTAATTAAAATAAATTTCATAGATTTTAAAGTAAATAATTAAAGCTAGTTAATGTATAACAAAATAAAATAACTTAAATTAAAATATGTTATTAAAATTTTTAGAACAAAATATATTTTTAGTCCTTTAGGTTGATGATCCTTTAGAGTTTTAATAATTATTTTTATGGAATAGCTTAATTGATAATTTTTTAATATATAAAGAGTAAATTTGATATTTATTTAATTTTAAAAAGTCATAATAATAAATGAATAAGGAAAACTAATAATAAAAAGAAGATAAGCAAAATGGGGATAGAAAGTTTTTGCTCTTAACTACGTTTATATATAGTATATATAATATATATATATATATTCTCTTAAAATAGTACTAGAGAGAGAATTGTTAAATAAAGTTATTAGTCACCAACTTAAGCTTAGCTGATCAACTAATTAAGACACCTAACTCGGACCAAAAGATCGAGAGTTCGAATCTTCACCCCACACGTTGTATTAAAAAAAATGACATTATTGGTCCATGTACCTTAGTTTCAATTTAGCTAGTGTTATTAAAAGCATTATTTCGTCCCTAACATTTTGATTTTTTTTTATTAAAGTCATGTATTTATTTAAGGATATGTTTAGTTATTTGAAAATATTGCTTTCTTAGGAAATGTCACATCATAAAAACATATAACGGGGCAAATTCAAACATATACTAGTTGATACGATATCTATTATTATCTTAAAAGTTGACGGTTTAATTTACCTACCCTTGAACTCAAACGAAAAAAAGATGCACGATGAGATTCTAACTTATAACGTCTTAGCGGAGAGGTAGAATGTTTAAACTATTTAAGATATATAGGTTGATGTGTGAAAATCTCTATTATTTTACTTCAAAAGTTTATTTAATTTTGAGACGCCAGCAAAGGTTTGAGTTTACTATTACACAATTTTGAAAGAGAAATCAAAGGCTCGTTTGGGAACGTTCATTTTTCTTGTTCCTATTTCTTCATTTTTAATAAAGAAAAATTAATTGTATGATCCTAACATCCATGAATTCAAGTAGGATAAAACAATATTTTTATTTATGTTTTGGAACAAATTGGAAATGGAACCAAAGAAATAAAACTTATTTTGGTTTTTTCTAAAATTTCTAAATAATTTTGAAAATGTTCCCAAAATCGGAGAAACAAGAAACATAGTTAATTATAAAATGCTTAGATTGCTTAAGAAAATTAGAAACCAGAAATCAGAAGGTTACCGAATCGCTCTAAAATGCAACCACAACAATTACCAAAGACAACAAAATTATTTGATATTAATTGATTGACCATTTTGCCCTTCAATAACATAGAAATGACACAAATGTGTCCTCTAAGAAAGCTCCAAGATAACCACCAAAAAGGCATCATATCTTCAATTCCTAGTTGTTTCAATTTGGGACAAAGTTTTGCCCCTTCTTTTCCTCACACTGAATAACAAAAGAAGGAAAATAAAAAAGTCACCAAAAGTTGCAAATGCTAACCAAGTTCCCACACAAAAGTTTGACTCTTTATATTATTTAACCTAACTAATCAATCTCCTTTTTCGAATCTCAAAATTACATAGCAATTTCATTTTCGGTTGTTACATTTTCTCTTTAACTTTATCCATCATACGATATATACTAAGACTCCCGAACAAAATTCTAGATCCGTCACTCGCTACTCTCACTGCCACAATGATAACCCTCTTTCAAACCTAATTTTTTCCAAATTATGCAAGTAGACCCGTAAAGATAAGGACATAATGAAAAAGAAAAGAAAAAGGAGTAATTTTTGCAAAGTGTGAAAGAAACATTTAAAACCAAATTAGAAAACAGCCAAATTAACATTGTCTTGCTTTCTGTCCCAAAACACACACACACACACACAAAGTTCAAACCAAACTAAAAGCAAATGGAAATCAAAAACAAAACCCACAAATTAAATTCTTCTTCTTTGTTCTTCATGATCTTCATAGTCGTTGGTCTAAATTTTCCATGAAAACTACAAAACCCTTCAATTTTTTCAAACCCCAAAAAAGAAGATTCTTTTTCAATGGGTAGAAGGGGCGAAGTCTTCCTCTAGACCCAACTCCCTTTTTTTTTTTTTTAGTTGAAATTCTACGTCGACCACGACCATGACCAAGTCTCTAATTTTTTCAAAAACTACCTTTTTTTTTCCTTTTCTTGTACCGTATACCACAAACATGTCTTATTTTATTCAATCAAAACTTGGGTTTTTTTTTCCTTTCCTTTTTGATCATAGATACATATAAATATATGTATTCTCTTCAACTTTTTTAGCATCTTCCATGGCCAACCAGAGAAAGTTGCAGGAGGAACTGGATTTGTCTATGGAGGAGGCCATTTCCTTGATCCTTCGTGGGTGTTCTTTGGCGAGAGAATTGGAATTCAGTGTTCTCAATAATAATGTTAATTTCCGGCAGCCCCAGATGGTGGCGCAGTCGTGTGATGAGATTTTGAGCGTTTTTGCCGCCGCCAAGGACCGCCTGAGCAGCCATGAACGGCCGCCGTCAGACGTCGGGTTGGAGGAGTGGCTGAGATCCACCTGCTCGCAGGCCATGGAGCTCGCGCAAATGCAGATGAGGACGCCGGTGGCCGCGGTGGCCGTGGCGCCGCCATTGCCCGTGACCATGGAGGATTCTGGCAAGATGGTCGGAATTGGTTTGGCTTCATCGTCGCAAAAAGGACGAACACGGTAATTTAGTCAAATTTCACAAATTGTATACATAATTACAGCACATTTGATTATCCTAATTTTGTAGCAATGAGCTGATTATGTTTATCTTATGGTTTGAGACGAGTTTAAATCATTCGTTATTGGTAATTTTAGAATTTTCAATTTGAATGCTTATATACTTGTAATATTTGTTGTTACCAAATTGTTAGCCTACGACACATTTTAAATTTACATGGCAATAAAAAAAAAATTTTAGTTTATTAGGGTTTATCGCAGAAAAAAGTAAAAAAGACAAGTGAGTTCATTCATATTGATCCTAAAAATACTTTAGGGATGATCCGTAAATTTATTTTTACTTAATCGACTAACTTGTATCGTTTAAAAGACTAAATTGAAATTAAACCCTACGAAGCAAAATTGGAAATTTAACCTAAAATTAAAAGAAAGAAAACATAATTATATATAAAATCTCTAAATTAAAGTAAGGATGGGAATTGGGGTTGGTAAAGCGTGGGAAAGGGAAGAACTTGATCACTTTTCCCACGAAGTTAAGTATAAAAAGTATATATATAAGGCTTCCTTTTTTTCTTTCATTTTTCCTTTTCTTTCCATTATTGATTGAGAATTTTGAAAAATGGGTTTAAGCAGGAAATATGATATGGAGAAGAGGACGGTGCGAGTGGCGGCGCCGCTTATCGGAAACACAGAGCTTCCGCCAGACGATGGCTTTACATGGCGGAAATATGGTCAGAAGGAGATCCTCGGCTGTCGATTTCCCAGGTTTGTTTTACTCTCTCGTTTCTCGTTTCTAGTTTTTGAAAACATACTTCATGCGTTTTAGACGTTTGGAATGAGAGTTTGAATTTGTATTAAAATGACAAACTCGTATTTGTCAATGGATTTTTCAAGCATGATCTAAGTTTGCTCAACATATTTCATAAGTTTAACTTAATTTCTTAAATACCAAAACTTCTTAAACACTCGTAGGTGTTAAAATATTGAACTTAAACCCTAAATATCCTTCGACTTTAAATAGTCAGCGTAATTATGTGCACTAAAATTAGGGAAAGTTCTGTCTCCAAAGGATAGCTTGGGGCCTCAAAGAATAACTTCGAGGTCTTTGATTCAAACCACATGGGATTACAACTTTCATCCAGCAATGACTCATTGCGTATGTTCGGGTATGGGTACAATGTGCATACCCTAGGAATATATAGGCTAAAGGGCCGCCGACTCCTGGTTAATAAAAAAAAATTAGGGGAAGTTGTGGAAGACACATCGAAAAAACTTTCTTTGAGAAATTGTTGCGGTTAAACTATATTTTATACAATCTCGTTAGTAGAGGTAGGAATTTAGATTTAAGGTTTAATTATAACTCTTATAAGTTTAAAAATTAGAGCTAACAAAATTATAGTTATATGGAGTTTGATTATTGAACAATTTAATAAGTATTGGGGATAATTGTTGAAATTGAAAGGTGAAGGGATGAAATTCTAACCACAATTCCCTTGAAATTGTTAGAGCACAAACCCATAATTTTAAAATTAACAATTAACATCATTTATTCTATTTATTAAAAAATCAAAAAGATAAATAGAACTTTTAATTTTAAAACTGGTTCTTTCAAACAAGCATTTTTAAAGTTTTAACACTAAACCTCTAGTTTTAACTTCTTCTTCTTCTTCTTTTCTTTTTGTTTTTTTTTTTTTCTGAGTTCTAGTTTTAAGCTTTTCGTTCCCTAAATTGTCTGTTAAAAATTAAAACAATAATAATAATAATAAAATTACATAATAATTTTCGCCTCATACTGCTAAATTTGGTTAATTTTAGCCCGAAAGTTTTTTTTTTTCCCTTCTTTCATCAATACTATGAGTTGGTGAAAATTTTAGTATACGCATTTGGGATAATGACTTTTGAGAAAATTGGCTTTTAAATAAAAACAACTTTTTTTATTAGCAGTTTTAAAAAATTAATAATATTTAAAGTGTGTTTCCTAAATGATTTTAGACCATTAAAAGTATTTCAAAGAAAATCTACAATATTTGATAATAAATAAAAGTATTTTTAAAAAAGTTGGATCGTTTCAAAACTATTTTAAAGAAATATTTAGAGAGATGATTATCTTCTTTTTCTCTTAATGATCATAACCGGGAGTGTTCGAGACAACTTTTTGACCCTACTGTATTTGATTGTGAAAGAAATTCATAGGACATTAAATCTTAGGTAGATGACTACCATAGTCTGAACTCATTCACGCTAAATTCTTTTTGGAGATGATTATACAGAAAATTAAAATACTATTTTGTTCTATATGTATTTTCAGCTTTTGGTTCATTTTGATCGTCTCATGCCTGAAGTGTTCAATTTGGTTACTTTTAACCTAGTTTATTTTAGTCTTTATACTTTCAAATTGTTTATTTTGATCCATATATACTCATAAAGTAACCATTTTGATTTCTTATTTTTATTTTTAATCTCAATTTTTCTATTATAATTTCAGCATGACACTACATTCAATATATTTATATTGAAATGTAACTATGACTTTATACGGACGTAGAATTTGTGGTAAAAAATTTAAAATATGGACAAAAAATGGCCACTTTCAATTAAAAAATATTGAAATGTAATGGTTTACCAAATGTATTTCTTTTTGCTTTTCAATTAAAAAAATGAGAAATTTCACGTCATAATATAAATTAATTAATTTAAAAGACATATTCATTTCATACTATTTATCTAATTGCCTCTAAAAGAATAACAAGAGAATAATTTCCAAACAAAAAACAATAAATAAAAACATTATCAGATAAAAAGACTATTAATTTTGTTTTTCTTTTTTAAAGAGAGAATGATTTTAAAAGTTTGTCCTTAGATTCACTTTGATTATATAAAATGATTATTGAAAATTTGACTGATTCAATTCAAAACAAAGTTATTTATTCTTCTTCAAAAAGTGGCCAAGTGGGGCAGCTTATTTGAATTTATGACTCATTCTTTGATTCAATTATGTGTCTATATGCTTAATAAAACCTTCCATGCCTTGTGGAATTTTCAGTTCCTTCAAATTTTCAAATTCAAACTCATTTAATTAGCAATTGACATTTTACTAAGTTTTTCAAACTAATATTATTTTATCATTTTTACTACTTCCTTTAACATCATTATTAATGTTAAAAAAAATTAAACGTAAAGACAACGACACTTAAGATATGTTCGAAAGTACGTGTTTTTAAATACTTATAAACGTTTTCTACCTCACCAACGTAGTCCTTTCATGGAGCTGATTTATCAAGTGCTTCAAATTTAGTACTTTGTTTTATTAACTTCTCCTTGCTACACTTTCCTCTCTTTCTTTTTTTCTCTCCCTCATTTCCTTCCACCCACATACACATATAAATATATATAATTTTCTTCGCTAATCTATTTCTACGCCTAATTTCTCCCAGTTCAGTCTACTTTATTAATTTTAATTATTTTCATTTTGTATTTCTTATAACTTTAATTAATTTTATTTAAAGCATCTCTCGATTCTAAAAACATTTATTACTTATTCCAAATCTGTGAAAACTTAAAAATAAAAATTAGGTGGAAGAATTAGAAAATTTCTCGCATAATTAAAAAATAATATTAAAACATAAGAGATCAAACTAAAATTTACTCAGACGTTAGGGGATTAAAACGTATATTTAGTCTTTAAAAACACCAAATTACCCAAAGAAAAAAAAAAACCCTGAGGGTTAAAAATGTAATTGTAGTCATCTTCTTGCAGAGGCTATTTCAGATGCACTCACCAGAAGCTCTACCACTGCCCCGCGAAGAAGCACGTGCAGCGCCTCGACGCCGATCCCCACACGTTCGAAGTCACCTACCGCGGCGACCACACGTGCCACATGTCCGCCACGGCGCCGTCCGCTGCGCCGCCGGACGTCGCCTGCAGCCAACACATGGCACAGTTCCGCTCCCCATCCGGCGGATGGCTTTCCATGGACTTCGGCTCTGCAACTGGGTCCGGCGCTCCGGCCACCGCCCGGTACGGCAGAGACGGCGGCGGCGACCAGTTTCCGGTGCTGGACATGGCCGACGCCATGTTCAACTCCGGCAGCTGCAGCAGCAACAGTATGGACTCCATCTTCGCCGCTTGTGTGGCGGAGGAACACCACAAGTGGGACAAAGACGACCACAAGAATTAGTCAAAGTTCTTTTTCGATTTAGGTTGAAATTACAAATTTGGTCTCCTGAATTTCATGTTTATTTAGTCCCGATACTTCCAAAATTAAATTTTTCATATTTTAGAACCAAGAGATGGTATATATATTCTTTTTGTGTGTATGAAATTTGGGTTGATAATGAATTTTGATTTTGATTAGTAAACGGTGTGATAAACATAAAGTTACTTTGCTATTTTAATATGTGCTGATATAGCAAACTAACCACGCTCATGAAAAATAAACATGAGGATGATCACATGACACATGGCACAACGTAGTACGTATGATGAGTTAAATGAATGAATTATCGTAAAATTTAGAGAGAACAAGTTATTTTTAGAACCTGCCCAAGAATCCATAATTTAACCTAAATGGATGAAATATCGTTTTGGGAATAATGTAATTTTTCTAATATAATAAATATGGGGTGAGAATTAAAATATTCTATCTCAAAGAAAGATATAGATATTTTAATTCACTGAACTCTGTTCTTATTATCTACGAGGAATAACATTTCAAACACGTCGATTTCATTTGCAACATCGAGAAATTCATGGTACATAAAAGACATCTTATCACATATAAAACATATCATTATCTAAATATTTACCCTTTTTTTGTCACTTGTAAGAGTGCAAGAATCGGAAGATATTCTCAATCTCTCCCATTGTCATATTCGAAAAAGTTGTGAGATTTTTTTAAAAAAATACACCTCAACATCAATAGCTCTTAATTTTCCACCCTTTAATGGGGCCGAATAAAAATGACTAGTAAGATAGCTTAATTATTTCTTATTTCTTAGGTTTATTTTAAAACGTTATTACTTTTTTTCTTTTTTTACCTTTAAGTTTCTTTTTTTTAAAAGGTTATTAATTTTCATTATTTGTATTATGATTTAAATTCAACCTGCTAAATTAACTCACGGATATTTTAAAATGATGTCTATAATGATATAATATTTTGTTTCAATAACTTAGAGACATGGTAAACTCACGTTGAAAAAGCATAATTTGGTTTTGATTTTAATTAAGACGTATTTTTTTATAACCTCAAATCGATAAGTTTTTCTAACTTTTTTATTCCTATGGGAGTACGGACGCCCACCCTAGGACTCAAATTCAGATATCAAGAACTTTTAGTATCAAGCTCACAAAAAATATGAACACAAGATCTCATAGTAGGTGATACGTCAAAAACTTCATGCCCTCTAGCTCACCAATAAAGCTAAATCGAGCATGGTTGGAAGACACTAATTTGGTTGGAAGAGAAACATATATACAAGTGGCAGAAATAAAGGAAGGTATTTTTAATATTACTGCACATAAAAAATCTGAAGCTATTAGATTGGATTAAAATCCAACCATCCTAATATGCAAAAAACCATCCAACCATCATCTAGAATTAGGATTTTATTGTATACACACAATTTTGTTAATCAAAGTGTAAAATCACCATAAAAATCCATCCCAAACACATGAGAATCTGCATCATCTCCCATCGAGAAACAGTATTGGTTCGTCGTCGGCATCTCCTGCAAGTCCCCAAAATCCTTAAACTCCGACCAGAGAATATCTGTCCCGTCTGTCACTTCACTTGTCGTCTCTCCCTTCACGCTATCGTCGCCCTCGGGCCAGACGAAACAGTCTGCAGTACTATCGCCCCGTTGGTCGTTGCCCGAGTTGGAGAAGCATATGTTGTAGGAGTTGGAGGCGGAGAGGGGAGGATCGGCAGCAACGACGGTGGCGATCGGGGCAGCGAGACCGCACGTGTGGGACGCCATGTAAGTGATCTTGTAGTTTCCTGAACCGTCGTCCATTTTCTGCACCTGCTTTGTGGCCTTGCAGCCCTGATCGTACTTGTGGGTGCACCTAAAGTAGCTCCTGTGTTTGGTTCAAAAAGAGAGGAAAGTTCTTGTCAAGCTTTTATGTCTTTTTTTTTTCACTTTTCTTTTCTTTCAATGTTTGAATGATTCTTCTTTTGAAATTGAGAAATAATAAACAGTTTTGATTTCAACTTAGTTTATATCAACTGAGTTTTTAGGTCTTTACCGTTCTCGTTGTTGTTTTTCGTTTTCAATTTTACAACTATTTTATTGTTTCTTGTTTATGTTTTTTCTTAAACTTTTTAAGACTTATAAAAAAATTTTTTAGAAATTTCTTGTTATTTCTAATTTGTTCCTAAAATATAAATATAAATATTGTTTTATCATTATCGAATTCACGGGTGTCGAGGGTCATGCAATTTTTTTAATTAAAAAGGATCAACATAAACAAGAAATAGTAACATAACTCAACGGACCCTTAAATTACATTTAAATTATATCAAGCATAATATAAAAATTCTTAGCATGCTATTGTGTTACCAAGAGACCCATGCCCTTATCTCATTAGAGACTGTTGGAAATTGAAAGATTATGTATATATAAAATGTAAGAATATACAAATTCATCTCGTCTGGTTAGAATTTCTAACTTTGCTTATGTTTTAAGCTATTCTAGACAAAAAAAAATTTTTGTAAAATAAGTTCACTAAAGTATGTGTATTGAGTGTTTTTCTTTTCTTTCTTTTTATGGAATGTCACCATCCAAATTACTTCCACTATAAGTATTTTGATCAAAGTTCCTATTTATCCAAAAAAACTCACTCTGTTTGTGGTGCTAATATTTTCAAAATGATTTAATGGAAAACTAAAACTACTTTTTTAATAACTAATATTTTTAGAATAGCCAAAATCACTACAATAAAAAAATTGGAAATTATTTGTATAAAAAGAAAAATTACAAAACATGTCTTTATCTTTTTTAGATTATGAACCTTTGAACTTCCAACAAGAAAAAAATAAATAGATCTGATTTATCGTTAAATTAAAATAGTAAAATAAACAATAATAGGTTTGAAAGAGACAAATTAGTGAAATGATGTGTTCTGAGAAAAGTCGAAGC